ACATATTTATACATGGCTATCACATCTCCTCTCAGCCTTCTCTTCTTCAGGCTAAACATGCCCAGCTCTTTAAGCCGCTCCTCATAGGGCTTGTTCTCCAGACCCTTGATCATTTTAGTCGCCCTCCTCTGGACACATTCCAGCTTGACAATATCTCTCTTCAATTGTGGTGCCCAGAATTGGACACAATATTCCAGGTGTGATCTAACCAAGGCGGAATAGAGCATGGGGGGCATGACTTCCCTAGATCTAGACAATATCCTCCTATTGATGCAGGCCAAAATCCCATTGGCCTTTTTGCCGCCACATCACATTGTTGGTTCATGCTTAACTTGTTTAGGACTCCAAGATCTTTTTCACACGCATCCTATGTCTACTCTAGCCCTAGGGTCAAAATGATTTAATCCAATGTTTGGGCAATTTTGACAGGCCCGAGAGCCAATCTTTTCCTCTGCTCAAAATGTCCAGCAAATGAAAGTTGATTAGTTTTTGTGACAACTAATGATTAATGATCTACTGTTTATATGCATAAGGAAAAGAAAGTGTAATGGGAATAACAAATATTTTAATTTATTGTAGCAGTTTCCATATGGTTTTCTATAGAAGCAACTGCTTTTTTTCCTCCTTGACTTTTTCTTCTTCACTTCTATCTCCATTAAAGTCCCTGGATGGCTATAATACGACATAGTATATAATGTAGGGCTGTTTCTAGGCTTTCTAAATAATCTATTATTGATCCTAAGACTGACAGAAAGATTGAGAGAAGGGAGCATAAGCCAACAGAAATCTGCAGAGCCAGAGAGGAAAGCTGAATAATGATGGAGGGCTGAGTTTCAGTGCCTCTCCGATGCCCAGTCAAACAATAACAAATTCTCCAGAATAAACTAAACAGCAAAGTAAATATAAGGAAACATAATTCACTTCTTGCATACAGATCCAGAGACCCAGTTTTCTCTGTGCAGAGTGTAAAAATACAAAGAGAGCTGTGCTGGATGAAGCCAAGGGCCTGTCTAGGCCAATTCTATTTGCATGAGGGCCAGCAAACAGACAAGAAGTCCATCAACAGGATATAAATAAATACCACTACACTTTTTGTCTCGCGTCCCACAGCAACCGATATGAAGAGGCAAGCCATCTTTGATGCAGAAGGTGATATATAATCATCCTGTTGAGCAACTGATGATCTTAAACTTGATATGTAATGCAAAGATACAGAATGGGGGACGCCTGGCTCGACAGCACTACATGTGAAAAACATCTTGGAGTCCTTGTGGACAACAAGTTAAACATGACCCAACAATGTGATGTGGTGGCTAAAAAGCCTGCATCAATAGGAGTCTAGTGTCTAGATCCAGGGAAATCATACTATTCCTCTGTTCTGCCTTGGTCTGAATTCTGGGCACCACAATTGAAGGGAGATGTTGACAAGCTGGAATGTGTCCAGAGAAGGGCAACTCAAATGATCAAGGTTCTGGAGAACAAGCCCTATGAGGAGAGGCTTAAAGAGCTGGGCATGTTTAGCCTGAAGAAGAGAAGGCTGAGATGAGACATATTTATTTTATTTATTATTTATTTACAGCTTTTATGTCCCGCCCTTCTCACCCCGCAGGGGACTCAGGGCGGATTACAGTGTACACATATATGGCAAACATTCAATGCCAATTTTTGACATACAAACATATACAGACATACACAGAGGCTATTTAACTTTTTCTGGCCGCCAGGGGAACTGTCACTTTCATCGTCCATCTGCGACGCTGATGAAGCACTTCCGCATTCCCCGCATGCTTCCCCACTGGAATGCTTTGCTGGAGTCTTCTTTATGGCCTCATAAATCAGTTAATTTAGCCTCCCCACACTTTAAGGTGGTACCTAATTTTCCTACTTGACAGATGCAACTGTCTTTCGGGTTGCAAAGGTCGACAACAGGCTACACACAATTGGTTGGAAACCCACTCCAACCCAGGCTTTGAACTCATGATCTTTTGGTCAGAGTGATCTTAATGCAGCTGACACTCAGCCAGCTGCGCCACAATCCCGGTGACATGATTAGGACCATGTATAAACATGTGAAGGGAAGTTATAGGGAAGAGGGTGCACACTTGTTTTCTGCTTCTCTGGAGACTAGGACACAGAACAATGGCTTCAAACTACAGGAAAGGTGATTCCTCCTGAACATGAGGAAGAATTTCCTGACTGTGAGAGCTGTTCAGCAGTGGAACTCTCTGCTGCAAAGTGTGGTGGAGGCTCCTTCTTTGGAGGCTGGTTGGTCATCTGTCAGGGGTGCCTTGAATGTGATTTTTCTGCTTCTTGGCAGAGGGTTGGACTGGTACAAAGAGGGATGGAGGTGTACTCCTAGGATGTTTTGTTCAATGGATGAATAAGGGGAAGCCCACATAAAGAGAGAATGATTTTGCACCTTCACAAATGGGATGGAGGTGGATTTGGATAAGTGAAGTGGAGTAATCATTAGTATATGGCCAGAGAAATACCCAGCAGACTGGCAATAGCTAAATGGATCGTAATTATATTGTTTATTGGGTTGTTGTAGGTTTTTTCAGGCTATATGGCCATGTTCTAGAGACATTTTCTCCTGGCGTTTCGCCTGCATCTATGGCAAGCATCTTCAGAGGTAGTGAGGTCTATTGGAACTAGGAAAGTGGGTTTATATATCTGTGGAATGGCCAGGGTGGGGCAAAGAACTCTTGTCTGTTGGAGCTAGGTGTGAATGTTTCAACTGACCACCTTGATTAGCATTTGATGGCCTGGCAGTGCCTGGGGCAATCTTTTGTTGAGAGGTGATTAGATGTGCCTGATTGTTTCCCCTCTCTTGTTTTGCTGTTGTAATTTTAGAGTTTTTTAATACCGGTAGCCAGATTTTGTTCATTTTCATACTGTTCATTTTTTTTTAATTTTAATGTTCATGGTTTTAATTGTTATTTTTGCTATTTGTATTTTATGAAGCGGCATTGAATTGTTGCCAATTGTAAGCCGCCCTGAGTCCGGCTTACAATTGAGAAGGGCAGGGTAAAAATGTTTTAAATAAATAAATAAATAAATAAATAAATGGAAGCCAACAAATAATGAATTCTGTTTACCTCTTGGACATAATAGCAAACACTGGTCTTTGATCAACTTTTTTCCCCTAAATCAAACTTTTAGACTTTTGACAGCGCCTTTTGTGAAACATGCTTTATATCACAACTATTTTAGTAATCTGCTTTGTTATTATCACATGCTTTCAGCAGGCCACAGATGAGTGACTGTACTCGTTTGTATTTAAAATATTTTTTAAAAATACTCCGAAGTATAGCACGGAATCCAAAAAGTATTCTGGAAATGCTAGAAATCTCGCCAACTTATCTTCCCCAAACAGCATTCCTGACAAAGTTGATATTGTCAAATGATTTATTCATTCCTGAGAATGGGTATTTATTTTGAGAAGTGGTGTTGGGAGCCAGTCCCGAAATATCTGCAATGCTGTCCAAGAAGAAACCAAAACTTACGGTATCATACTGTTGCTTTCCTGCTTTAAATGATCTTGAGAAGTTTTGGCAGTGTTTGGGAAATGAGATATTCCTTCATTTTTCTGGAAGACAGTGTTAAAACCAGGTCAAGGGAAGGTGATCTAATAGAAGCTGTTACCTTAGAAAAACAATCGAAATGACTTTTCAATCTTGTTTTTTCAAATACCTCTAAGTCAGTGTTTCTCAACCTGGGGGTCGAGATCCCTGGGGGAGTCGCGAAGGGGTGTCATAGGGGTCACCAAAGACCATCAGAAAACACTATTTTCTGTTCGTCATGGGGGTTCTGTGTGGGAAGCTTGGTCCAATTCTATCATTTGTGGTGTTCAGAACACTCCTTGATTGTAGGTGAACTATAAATCCCAGCAAGTACAACTCCCAAATATCAAGGTCTATTTCCCCCAAACTCCCCCAGTGTTCATATTCGGGCATATTGCGTATCCGTGCCAAGTTTGGTCCAGATCCATCATTGTTTGAGCCCACAGTGCTCTCTGGTTGTAGGTGAACTACAACACCCAAACTCAAGGGCAGTGCCCACCAAACCCTTCCAGTATTTTCCGTTGCTCATGGGAGTTCTATGTGCCAAGATTGGTTCAGTTCCATCGTTGGTGGAGTTCAGAATACTCTTTGATTGTAGGTGAACTATAACTCCCAAACTGAAGGACAGTGCCCACCAAAACCTTCCAGTATTTTTCGTTGGTCATGGGAGTTCTGTGTGCCAAGATTGGTTCAATTCCATCGTTGGTGGAGTTCAGAATGCTCTTTGATTGTAGGTTAACTACAACTCCCAAATGACAAACCCCCCCCCCCCCCATCCCACCACTATTTAAATTTGGACATATGGGGTATTTGTGCTAAATTTGGTCCAGTGAATGAAAATACATACTGCAGATCATTATTTACATGGCAATTCATAACGTTAGGGTTATGGTTGGGGGTCACCACAACATGAGGAACTGTATTAAGGGGTCGCGGCATTAGGAGGGTTGAGAACCACTGCTCTAAGTGAAATCACCACAATCCTCCTAGTCTATGAGTGAAGCACTTCAGACCCTTGATGATCTGGTCTTTTTAGGGTCACCATTTCAGTGCTTTGAAGTTCCCTGTGTGATCATGTCCTCCTCTGCAGTGCCAAGTGCCAAGAGGAAGGCATGTCAAGCCAATCCAGACCGGGACTACCTTCCACCTGGAAACCGATGTCCTCACTGCAGGAGAGCATCCAGATCAAGAATAGGGCTCCACAGCTACTTATGAACCCACCACCAAGACACCAGACTTGAGGACCTTCATCCTCAGGCTACGACGTATCGCCTAAATAAGCACCCCCAAGGATTTAAACGAAGTCAAATTCAATTCTCGATTGAAAAGGAGCACCATGTTATAGATCTCCTCAGCCTAAAGAGCAGATCCTGTAGTTATGCTGTTTCTTTCTTTCCTCTTTTTCTCTAACCACGATGATGTTTTCAATCTTTGCAGCTTGATGATTTGTACTTGATTGCCATCTGCCACTGCCGAGGAATCAAGTCACTGCGGGACCTTACGGCTGAGCATCTGCCTTTGCTTCAGAACATTTTGCAAGAAGGGAAGGTGGGTATTGTGATGAAGTGTGAATTTTAACCTACAGTTATGTATAATTATAGATAGGTGTTTAAAAGAGTAAGTATTTAAAATAACATAACTGGAGGGATGGTAGCCAGCTAGGTTGCCATGGAAAAAGGGGAGGAGCCAACTGCCACTTGGCAGGGCAGGCATTTTAAAACTGTCAGTCTGTAGTCTGAGAACTGCAGGGGAGCCTGGTTCTACTGTGTTGAGAACCAGGAAGGTAATCTGTAGTCTAAGAACTGCAGGGAAGGCTGGTTCTACTGTAATGAAAACCAGGAAAGCAGTCTGTAGTCAGAGAACTACAGGGAAAGGCTGATTCTACTGTGTTGCGAATCAGGAAGGTTTAGGCTTTTTGCCTGTGAGGTTTAGATAGGTCAAGTTGACTTATTTAGATTAGTAGGTAGTGTATGAGCAGAAAAGGGGAGAGAACCCCAGTAAGAATCTTTACTGCAACAGAGATAATATAGGGAAAGAGTAGGCTAGTGCCTGGAGTAATCTGTTAAGGAAAGAAACACAGCTTGAAGCAAAATAAGTTTAAAACCTGTCTAGTGGAAGGAACTCTCAAGAGTTATTTTATGAAATGTTATAAATGTAACCTCTAAAGAAATGTGCCTCTAGGAGTTAAGAAACATTGAAACCATCAAGCTTCTTCTATACTTCAATAAACTTGTTACAGTTTCTCTTAAAGCCAAGTCTCTGTTTTGAATACTTCCAAGTCAAGCTGCGTTACACATTGAAGAAAGACCAACAAAATATTACAAGCCATTACCTGTGTTATCAATTTAATAAATCCATTACAATAGTAGGAGACCCTGATAAATCAGTGACTGCTACTGGTGGCCCGTCCCTTTACAAAGTGGTGGCTTCTTTACAGGTATCCTCTCAGGTGATTTCAGACCTTCCTCTTCCTGATTCTACACAACCTGAGCATGTATGGAGTCCTTGCTTATTGGAATACTAGCCGTCCCCTGCCACACCTTGCTGTGGCCCGGTCTGCTGATCTGGAAAATAAAGTAATGAGAAAGTGTTGGTTTCTCTTTGATTGTAGGTGAACTATAAATCCCAGCAACTACAACTCCTAAATGACAAAATCAATTTTTGAGTGATGGTCACTCTTTGGGGTAGTAGGTGTCTTGTGGCCAAATTTGGTGTCAATTCGTCCAGTGGTTTTTGAGATATGTTAATCCCACAAACAAACATTACATTTTTATTTATATAGACTAGTTGCCCCCTGCCACATGTTGCTGTGGCTCACATGGGGGTTCTGTGTAGGAGGTTTGGCCCAATTCTATCGTTGGTGGGATTCAGAATGCTCTGTGATTGTAGGTGAACTATAAATCCCAGCAACTACAACTCCCGAATGACAAGATTCTATTTTCCCCAAACTCTACCAGTGTTCACATTTGGGCATATTGAGTATTCGTGTAGAGTTTGGTCCAGATTCTTCATTGTTTGTTTTGGTCGTGTCAGGAGCGACTTGAGAAACTGCAAGTTGCTTCTGGTGTGAGAGAATTGGCCGTCTGCAAGGACGTTGCCTAGGGGACGCCCAGATTATTTTAATGTTTTTATCATCCTTATGGGAGGCTTCTCTCATGTCCCCGCATGAGGAACTGGAGCTGATAGAGGGAGCTCATCCGCCTCTCCCCAGATTTGAACCTGCAACCTGTCGGTCTTCAGTCCTGCTGGCACAGGGGTATTCGGCAATGTATAGGGCTGAGTTAGAACTGGCCATTTTCAAAGGCTTGTTGAAACCACCAGGTCTTCAAACTCTTACAAAAGGAGGGAAGGGATGGGGCCTGTCTTATTTCCCTTGCAAGGGCGTTCCAGAGGCGGGGGGCCACCACTGAGAAGACCCTCTTTATCGTCCCCACCAACCGAGCTTGAGACGGCAGTGGGACCTATCCAATGCAGTTTTCTGAATCAGCACCCCAAATAACCAAACTGATTCTATAGTTGACCAAAACTGATTGGTAACCCTTTTGGTACTAATTTTGGAGAGTGGTCCCTGGTCAAAGTGGTCCCTGGTCAAAAAAGGTTGGAAATCACTGCTTTAAAGTCAACATCCTGCTTAGTTTTTTAAAGGTGTCTTGTTTACCCCTTTTCAGTACACCCCATTGTAGCGGACTGGTTAAATGCATGCACAAGAGTAAGGCATTCTCCTTCAGTCCACCTTCGCACACAATGCTCATGCACTGCCACTGCAAGGCTGGTGTAGCTGGTGGGGAAATGTGCCTTTTGTGCTGCTGGCCCCAGGTCAGGGCTGACACATGAGGAGAAATTCCAGTGGTGGGCTGATGGCAGGAGAGCGGGAATTCCACTTCTCTTTAGTGGTTCTCTCATTTCCTGTGAAGTTCTGAGGAACTTGCCCGTGTCAGCATCTGAGTGGTTTGTTAACACACCAAGTTGGTAAGTGTCTGGGTAACTGTCAAGAATTCAAGCTTTGCTCTTCATAATTTAACATGGAGGGTTTTTAAATTATTTATTTTGCATATTTCATGCCCAGCAGTGCCTGCCCAACAGCGATATGGATTTATAACTTCTCTTGCCAAAAGACTGCCCCCCCCCCCTTCCTTCTCCGGTGGCTGCTACAGCTGCCGCCACCCTCCGCGCTTGGTCTTCAGGGTGCAATTATTTTCCCCAGTGATGAATTGCTGGTTGCCAGGCAAAGCAGACAAAATAAAATGTGCCTTTCCGGGACCAGATGTTGGAGGGAGCCTTTCAGAATGGAGTGGCACTGTGCCTAGCAGCAGCTGGCATCCAAGTGGAACTTCGGCAGGAATCTGCTTAAACATCCAAGGCAGAAATCTTCTACAGCAGTGGTTCTCCACCTTCCTAATGCCGCAACCCCTTAATACAGTTCCTCATGTTGTGGTGACCCCCAACCATAAAATTATTTTTGTTGCTACTTCATAACTGTCATTTTGCTACTATTATGAATTGTAATGTAAATATCCAATATTCAAGATGTATTTTCATTCACTAGACCAAATTTGGCACAAATACCCAATATGCCCAAATTTGAATACTGGTGGGGTTGCGGGGGATTGATTTTGTCATTCGGGAGTTGCAGTTGATGGGATTTATAGTTCACCTCCAATCAAAGAGCATTCTGAACTCCACCACTAATGGAACTGAACCAAACTTGGCACACAGAACTCCCATGACCAACATAAAATACTGGAAGGGTTTGGTAGGCATTGACGTTGAATTTTGGAGTTGTAGTTCACCTACATCCAGAGAGCACTGTGGACTCAAACAATGATGGATCTGAGCCAAACTTGGCATAAATATTCAATATGCCCAAATGTGAAAACTGGTGGAGTTTGAGGAAAATAGACCTTGATATTTGGGAGTTGTAGTTGCTGGGATTTATAATTAACCTCCAATCAAAGAGCATTCTGAACTCCACCGGCAATGGAATTGAACCAAACTTGGCACACGGAACTCCCACGACCAACAGAAAATACTGGAAGGTTTTGGTGAGCATTGATGTTGAATTTTGGAGTTGTAGTTCACCTACATCCAGAGAGCACTGTGGACTCAAACAATGATGGATCTGTACCAAACTTGGCATGAATATTCAATATGCCCAAATGTGAACACTGGTGGTATTTGAGGAAAATAGACCTTGACATTTGGGAGTTGTAGTTGCTGGGATTTATAGTTAACCTACAATCAAAGAATATTCTGAACCCCACCAACAATAGAATTGGGCCAAACTTCCCACACAGATCCCCCATAATCTACAGAAAGTACTGTGTTTTTTGGTGGTCTTTGGCAACTCCTCTGACAACCCCTTGTGACCCCCCCCCCCCGGGGTCCCGACCCCCAGATTGAGAAACACTGTTCTACAGGTTTTACTTAGGAAGTAAGCCCTGCTGAAATGAGTGAGGTATTTTTTGGAGTAAAACTGGGCAAGATGGAGCTTTACTGATCCACTTTGCAAAGCTGTCTCTTTACTAGGTTGTTGTAGGTTTTTTCAGGCTATATGGACATGTTCTAGAGGCATTCTCTCCTGACGTTTCGCCTGCATCTATGGCAAGCATCCTCAGAGGTAGTGAGGTCTGTTGGAACTAGGAAAAAGGGTTTATATATCTGCAGAATGACCAGGGTGGGACAAAGGACTCTTGTCTGCTGGAGCTAGGTGTGAGTGTTTCAACTGGCCACCTTGATTAGGATTTGATGGCCTGGCAGTACCTGGGGCAATCTTTTGTTGAGAGGTGATTAGATGTCCCAGATCGTTTCCTCTCTGTTGTCTCTTTGCTGCCTGCCTGATGTGTGCCCTTCAGCCCATTACAGTGCAGCATTTGCTTCGGAAGTGAGAGTGAGAGAACATCCCTGAGCACATTTCTCTTGGCTCAAGAGCTCTTGAATGGCTGATTACTTTAGAAAACAGCTACTCCAAGTAGATCAAGATTATCCAGGCTGCAGCATTACACCTTTTTGCAAAGCAAACCAAGCCTTCTTCGAAAACAGCCTCCCATTTCCTTTTGGCTCAGGGGAATTCTGGGGAATAAGTTGGAACGCAGATCTTCAGATGGAGCCAAATGCAGACTTGGCCTGTTTCTTCCCAGGACCCAAAGGAATTGTTTACAGCAGATTAGTTTTTGGAATGTGTTGCTTCTCTCTCTCTTCTCTGAGTCTTGGCAAAGGTATCATTAAGAGGGCTTCAAAGCACAAGCCAGGCCTTTCACATCCAGCTTTCTTGGGGTGACTTACACAGAGAGGCAGAATTGTGTATCTTTACACGATGGCTCTAATTGTATCCTGAACTCTTTGTATTTAGCGTTCCATGTTGGTAATGGAGCTAGGGCCAAAGTGCATGGTCGAATGGCAAAAACATTGATTTGCAAGGGCAAGCACCTCCTCTGTCAGCCCACCCACACCCAGCTTTTTTGTCCCTGCTACAGACATCACAATAGCTTGAGGTGGCATGATCTTTGATGGGGAATTCAGTCCCATTAATGTGTTGTTGAAGCCTTTCATGGTCAGAATCACTGGGTTGCTGTGATTTTTCTGAGCTGTATGGCCATGTTTCAGAAGTCAACCTGGACATCATGCTATTTGAGAACACAGAAATACTGGACCACTCTCACAACTACCATGTCAGACTACACGGAGAAGCCATTGAAATCCACAAGTATGTGGTCAATTTCAACAGAAAGGAGGAAACCGTGAAAATGAACAAAATCTGGCTACCAGTGTTCAAAAACTCTAAAATCAGAACAGTAAAGAAAGAGCAACACTCAAAAACAGGGGAATTCCAGACAAGAATTAATCAAGGCCAGCTAATCACCTTGCAACAAAGGATTCCCCCAGGCAGGAAGCAGCCAAGCCTTGAAGCTGCAAGGCTTTTCAGTGCTAATCAAGGTGATCAATTGCGGCACTCAAACATACCTCAAACAGACAAGAGTTCTTTCTCCCGCCCTGGACATTCCACAGATATATAAACCCCACTTGCCTTGTTTCCAACAAGCCTCACAACCCCTGAGGATGCCTGCCATAGATGTGTGTGAAATGTTAGGAGATAATGCTTTTGGAACTTGGCCACACAGCCCGGAAAACTCACAGCAACCAAGTCCCATGAAATGTATAAAAGACCTGTACCTGATGCAGGTAATTATATCTATACTGGATTAGAAAAAAACTGATCCATTGCCTACAGGTGCTGCAATGACATTAGCAAAAGCTGTATAATAATAATAATAATAATAATAATAATAATAATAATAATAATAATAATAATAATAATAATAACAACAACAACTTTATTTATGCCCCGTTACCATCTCCCCAAGGGACTCGGTGTGGCTTACATGAGGCTGAGCCCACAATACAACAATACAAGCAATACAAGCAATAACAAATGCAATACAAAGCAATTAAAATAAATCTCATACACAAATAGCATAAGGTACAGTGCACCTTAAAATCTATGGCTGGGCCAAATGTAATTGAAGTTTTTAAAAAATAATGCTAGGCATGAACAAGTAAAGGAGGTGGGGCGTTGATGGAGACATACAAGCAGTCCTAAATCGATACAAAGTGCTTTTGGAGGACATAATGCGAAGGGTTCATTATTCTGGGAAGGCACACTGGAACAACCACGTTTTCAAGCTCCTCCTGAAGACTGCCAGAGATGGGGCATGCCTGATGTCCTTCGGGAGTGAGTTCCAGAGTCGAGGGGCCACCACCGAGAATACCCTCTCTCTCGGCCTCACCAATCGTGCTTGTGATGCAGGTGAGAGCGTGAGTAGGGCCTCTCCAGGTGATCGAAGAGATCGTGTGGGTTCGTATACAGAAATGTATACGAACTTTGTCAGGAGACAAAGTTTCCCTGCCAGCTTCTGGTGGTTTTTATTGCTTTTGCCATAACTGTGCTCAAAACTCCAACTTCACTGGGTTAACAGACTCTTATGCCAGCACATCAGCACAGGGTTCTTCCCCAAAACTGCTTGAATTGTTTTCTTGTTGTGGCTCAGTATAGTTATCTGCACTTTTTAATTCCCTGTGGGGCGTGTTTCTGGCACTACTGGTCCTGTTTTTTCTTCTTCAAGGGACTGTTTTAGTTGTGATGTCAAGTTGATTCCTGTCTTAAAATCTGTAGGACTTGCATATGAGCATGTACCTGGTTTTAATTGTTTTAACTTGTCTTCTTTGGTTAGATTGTTAGATATGTTTTAGACTGTTATTAAAAATTATTATTTCATATTCCAAATTGTTTACATTGATTCTCTTTTCACCACCCTGACCGAAGTTCTTGGATATGGTTGGGTAGAAATATTTTTTAAATAATAATAAATTTTATTCCAAATATAATACAGTATTTCCAGAATCAAGAAAGTGACATCTAAGCAAAGGAAATTTCCCACCATGCTATCCTTCTAGAAAATTCAAATTAAATGTGCTCCATAGATGCTGTTTTTTGTTTTTTTTGGTCGTGTCAGGAGCGACTTGAGAAAATGCAAGTCGCTTCTGGTGTGAGAGAATTGGCCGTCTGCAAGGACGTTGCCCAGGGGACGCCAGGATGATTTTGATGTTTTTATCATCCTTGTGGGAGGCTTCTCTCATGTCCCCGCATGAGGAGCTGGAGCTGATAGAGGGAGCTCATCCATCTCTCCCCGGATTCGAACCTGCGACCTGTCGGTCTTTAGTCCTGCCGGCACAGGGGTTTAATCCACTGCGCCACCGGGGGCTCCAATAGATGCTGGTGAGATGTGCATTAATATCCTATGTTTTGCCCCCAGGAGGCCATAGAGAAGCGCTTTAACATCTCTGGGTCTCAACTACGGATCTACCTCCATTACCGCCCATCCTACTACCATCTCCACGTCCATTTCACCGCCTTGGGCTATGATGCACCAGGGTGCTCTGTGGAGCGGGCCCACCTCCTCTCGGATGTGATTGCGAACCTGGAGGGGGATTCACATTACTATCAGAAGCGGACCATAACCTTTGCCCTGCGAGCTGATGAACCCCTGCTGAAGAAATTCCAGGAAGCAGGTCGAGTCTAAACTCTTTCAGGACAGCTAACTATACGTTGTGTACGTTTTCTAGGTATCATTTTGTATTTCAAATCTTGCTTATGGTTTTGTATAATTGAAGTTATTTTTCCATTCCTGTTGCTTCTGAAACAATTTTTTTCATTATTCATACCAATAAAAGGCAGTGTTCTGGATTTATATGTGTCGTCCCTTTTTTCAATGGAGCATTGTTTGATACCTCCAGGCGTTTCTAGCAGAAAGCCTGTGACTCTTCAGATGTTGTTGAGCTCCAATTCCCATCAAATCCAGACAGCGCAGCCAATAGTGTGTGGCAACAGACCGAGTCTGGATGGAGCATATTTATTTCGCGCATTTCTATCCCGCCCTTCTCAACCCCTGAGGGGGGACTCAGGGTGGCTTACAAAAGGCACAATTGGATGCCAGCAATACAATAGTAAGAAAAATATATATCAGCAACAATTAAAGCAATCCAGTTATACAACACAATTAATAAAAATCAATCTAATGATCAACGTTCGCCAAGCTCAAAATCCGTAAGTTCATTCCGCATTGTCATAATCATATCCAATTCTAGTCGTCATTTGTCTGTCTGCCAGATTACCCAAAGGCCTGGTCCCATATCCATGTTTTTAGTTTCCTTCTAAACGAGAGGAGGGATGTCGAAGACCTAATTTCCCCGGGAAGCGAATTCCACAGGTGAGGGGCCACCACCGAGAAGGCCCTGCTCCTCGTCCCCACCAATCTCACTTGTGATAGAGGTGGGGCCGAGAGCAGGGCCTCCCCAGAAGATCTTAAACTCCGAGGCGCGACATAGAAGGAGATGCGTTCGGACAGGTACGCTGGGCCAGAGACGTATAGGGTTTTGTAGGTAAAAACCAGCACTTTGAATTGTGCTCGGAACTGGATCGGCAGCCAGTGGAGCTGACATAACAGAGGAGTGGTATGCTCCCTGTATGATGCTCCGGTGAGTAATCTGGCTGCTGCCCGTTGGACTAGTTGAAGTTTCCGAACTGTCTTCAAAGGCAACCCCACGTAGAGTGCATTGCAGTAATCTATTCGGGATGTAACAAGAGCATGGAAAAACAAAAAATAACACCCTCAAAGAGTTCTTGGAAGAAGATTTAGGGATAAAAATAAATGAAACAGAGTGGCAACAATTATGGAGACAAAGACATCTAAAGAATATATCAATATGGTTTAAAGAAAATTGCTATAAGTTAATATAGAAATGATACCTTAAACCAGTAAAAATAGCAAATATAAATAAAAACTATTCAAAAAAATTGCTGGAGAGGATGTCAAGAATCAGGAACATATATACATATGTGGTGGCAATGTAAATATGTAAATAATTTTGGGAGGAAAGTATTTAGAGAAATAGAAGATATAATGAATATTAAAATAGAAAGAAGTCCTAGTATAGCTTTGTTATTATATAATAATAAACAATTGGAAAAAGAGGATAAAGACGCGATAACAAATTTATTAACAATAGCAAGACTGCTTATAGCAAGGAACTGGAAAAAAAGAAATAAATATACAAATAGAGGAGTGGTACAAGGAAATAGGGAAATTGGCAATAAATGATAAACTGACATGTATATTAAAAGGTAAAAGAGGTATATGGAAACAAAGTGATTTTGATGATGTATGGAGAAAATTTATCGAAAAAGGATTTAAAAATAAAAAGGGACAGTTACCTCCACAAGAAGAATTGAAATTTTGGACAGATGATATGTAAAAGCTGTGGCTTGGGAGGGGAGCTCAGTGGTGAGGGATAGAAAATATATATAAGCAGAAAAATAACACTAGATGCCAAATTGTTAAAGTATAGTAGGTTGTATTGAATAATATGTATCTTCTGCTGTAAAACAAACAATGTATAACAAATGTATTAAACCATGATAAAATAATAAAAAATATTTTTAAAAAAGAAGAATATATACTAGGGCTAGGTTTGAACAACTCGGTATTATGATGCAAACTGGGCGTTACTGTAACATCCCAAGAAGAGAGAGATTCTGCGTATGGGGAGAACAAACTGTGGAAGATATCGAACATTGAGTTGTTGTAGGCTTTTCTGGGCTATATGGCCATGTTCTGGAGGCAATTTTTCTCCTGATGTTTCGCCTGCATCTATGGCAAGCATCCTCAGAGGTAGTGACTGGCATCTATGGCAAGCATCCTCACTACCTCTGAGGATGCTTGCCATAGATGCAGGCGAAACATCAGGAGAAAAATTGCCTCCAGAACATGGCCATATAGCCCGGAAAAACCTACAACAACCCAGTGATCCCGGCCATTAAAGCCTTCGACAATACATATCGAACATTTCTTGATAGACTGTCCAGCATATACTGAACTGCGAGACAGATATTTACATCCAATATTATCCAACTTTAGGTCCCCCAACAGATATGATCTTCTGATATTATTCTTGCAAGGACAGGAAAGATCCACCATAATCGGAGTAAGCATTTTTATTCTGAAAGCTATCAAGAAAAAAGCACATTTCCTGAAAGAAGAACCAGGAAAATAAGATTCTGACTGTAAATAGACGGTCAGCTGCCGTCCTCTCCTTTTTGCCTTGTCTTTTACTCGTGTTGTATTTTGAAATGGTCATACGACTGGTCAAATAAACAACCTTCCTCCTTCTGCATGGACTACACAGAGTGATGCTTCTTTTCTCTTTCAATATAATTGCTATTTGGGAACAGTTGGGGATTAGCAGTGTGACCTTCAACTCTATTATAATAATAGAACAGAGGGGAAAATCATGCAGGCCTATATCTGTTTCTAGGCTGCAACTCCCACTACTTTTCATAATTGACAATGTTGGATGGGGATGGTGGGACTTGCAGTTCCACACCACCTGGAGCATCCCATGATTCCCAACCTCTTGTGTAGATGTAACCCACGTTTGTCTGACTGTTGGCAATGCCTTTGTGTTCTATTAACATACAATAGTAATAATCATCATCATTATCATCATCATCATCTATATAAATAATAATGTAATGTTTGTTTGTGGGATTAACATAACTCAAAAATCACTGGACAAATTGACACCAAATTTGGATGAAATACACCTAACAACCCAATATATGTCCTTCATTCAAAAAATTGATTCTGTAATTTGGGAGTTGTGGTTGCTGAGATTTATAGTACACCCACAACCAAAGAGCATACTGAACTCCACCAATGATGGAATTGAGTCAATCTTGGGACACAGAACTCCCATGGTCAACAGAAAACACTAAAAGGGTTTTGTGGGCATTTACCTTGAGTTTGGGAGTTGTAGATCACCAACATCCAAAGAGCACTTTGGATTCAAACAGTGATGGATCTGGACCAAACTTGGCACGAATATTCCATATGCCCACATATGCACACAAATGGAGTTTGGGGAAATAGACATTGACATTTGGGAGTTGTAGTCGCTGGGATTTATAGTTCACCTACAATCAAAGTACATTCTGAACCCCACCAACGACAGAATTGGGCCAAACTTCCCACACAGAACCCCCATGAGCAACAGAAAATACTTAAGGCTATCCAGTCCAACTCCCTTTACCAGGACAAGAAACCATAATCAAAGTCCTCCTGACAGAGCCATCCAGTCATAGATATAGATAGATCGATATGATTCATGCACATGGAGATATAGTATCATAGATTTGAAAGGGACCCCTAAAGAAGGACAATTATATGTTGCATGTTCCAGAGTAGGCAAACCAGACAATCTCCACATCAACACTGACAAAGAAACAGCAAGAAGTGCTGTTTATCAACAAGCATAAAGAAATTGCATATATTAGAAACCAACACTTTCTCGTTACTTTATTTTTCAGATCACCAGACTGGGCCACAGCAATGCGTGGCAGGGGATGGCTAGTAATATTAATAATAATTTATTTTCTGCTGCTCTCAAGATGAGGGGTGCATCTACACTGTAGAGTCAATGCAGTTGGGTACCAATTTGACTGCCATGGGCCAATGCTATCAATTCAGCAGAGTTGTAATTTTACAAGGTCTTTAGCCTTTGCCTCACCAAACTACAGCACTTAGCATTCAGTTGTGGCAGTTAAAGTGATACCAAACCATATTAGGTATATAGCATAGATGCACCCTAGGCCACAAACAAGTGACTGGACTTTCTTGGGGAGCTCTCCTTCTCTGGAGGCATTTAACCAAAGGCTGGATGGCTATATGTCAGGAGTGCTCTCATAATTGCCAAGCCGAGGGCTGGACTAGATGGCCCTTATGGTCCGCTCCTTAAACGAGTTGGGTAATTTCAGTGATAACATACAGCTTCCTCTTGTGACAGTGACTGACAATACATTGCTCTGTTTGCCATCGTCAAGAATCCAACAATTTAAACTTGCAGATGCCACCCATTGATTGTCAGTACTATGTGTATATTTTGACTTAAAAAAACTCTCGTTTTAGTTGTTTTGGAATCTGAACAAAGCAAAAGATGAAGGAGTCATGATTGCTAAAGGTCACAAGAGTTGAGCAAGCAACAATGCTCTTTTCCGAAACCTGATGGCAAATGAATGTTGATGTTTGCAGAGCAATTCTGCAGGCAATGATTCATCATATGGGATAGGATTATTATTTTCAGATATCGCTAAAGCAAAGAATGGCAGGGTTTGGAATAAAGGGTCTGGCAGCTCCTTACTTTTTTGCTACATTTCTGTAAAATTGGAATTTTTAAACTGCTGAACAGGTGGCCAAAGGGTATTTTTGATGTGGCACACTGTACTTTCAGTTGCGCTTTAAATACACTACATTTTTATGGTTTCTCATCAACTGGCTGGATCTGGACTGCCATGTAGCACAGTTTCAATGGTCAGTGCGGATCAGCGCTCTCCAAACTCTGTCTTTTGACAGGTTAGAGTGCTACACAGATGTCGAGAAAAATGACAAAACAGTCTTAGAACTGTAACTGTAATCTTACAAATAATTTTGTTGTACATTCATTCAGTCGTTTCCGACTCTTTGTGACCTCATGGACCAGCCCACGCCAGAGCTCCCTGTCAGCAGTCACCACCCCCAGCTCCTTCAAGGTTAATCCAGTCACTTCAAGGATGCCATCCATCCATCTTGCCCTTGATCGACCCCTCTTCCTTTTTGCTTCCATTTTCCCCAGCATAATTGTCTTCTCTAAGATTTCCTTTCTTCTCATGATGTGGCCAAAGGACTTCATCTTTGCCTCTACTATCCTTCCCTCCAATGAGCCTTACAAATCATATCATTTCAAAAATATAAAGGAAAGGTTTTCATGAGATATATTGCATCCCCATACATTCCGTTTTTACATGTGCCCATATCTATTATAAGGGGTTGGTTTAGTGTCCGGTTTGGTAATAATAATAATAATAATAATAATAATAATAATAATAATAAAACAACTTTATTTATATTCCGCTCTGTCTCCCCAAAGAGACTCAGGGTGGATTGCAAACATAAAAGGCAAACATTCAATGCCCAAATACAACAACAATACATCCATACTAACAAAAATTATACAAACCAACATATAAATACGAATTATAACTTAAACTAAAATTAAATAAAAAGCACAGTCTGTTATAACAGACATAAGACAACATCAAACATGAAACGGAAACAATAAGTTCCCATGACTGAATTACTGTGTCACAAAAATGAGGTGTGTCTAAATGATACATTTGGAGGAGGTACTTTGATTGTGCTTTTACTGCATGGAGGGGGTTGGACTAGATAGCCCATGTGGTCCTTTCTCGCTCTATGGTTCTATGAGTCAATAAATAATAATAATTCTGTTGGGAGGTGGTTGCATCTGAGAGCACAAAACAATCCATTGATGTCACAGCAAAAGGTCAGTCTGTCAGCTTAGCTAAAACGTTTTGTCAAATTTTAATCACAGTGGAAAAACTGTGAGATTTTCGGAGTTATTTATGTGATCAGCATAAAAAAAATCTGTTTGGTACACACAAAATGGTAAAGGAAACAAAATATTTGTTTTCCAGTGTAATCAACGAAATCATGACAAATAATAATAAGATATTTGATTTATTTACGACATTTACCGTATATGCCGCCCTTCTCACCTCGAAGGGGACTCAGAGCAGCTTACAAGTTATATGTACATCCAATATATTATATTATTAGCACAGCACAATATTAGAACTATATATATTACTATATTGTACTATACCCAAATACTGTAATATTATTAGTAATATTACATATAATATATATACAATTATTATATTGCATTACTATTAGTATTATATTGTATGACATTATAATAGTATCAATATTATATGTGTATACAATTTATTATATTATTAGCACAGTACAATATTAGAATTATATATTACTATATTGTACTATATTCAAATACTGTAATATTATTAGTAATATTACATTTAATATAAAATATAAAATTATTATATTGTATTACTATTAGTATTATATAGTATGACATTATAGTAGTATCAATATTATATGTGTATACAATATATTATATTATTAGCACAGTACAATATTAGAATTATATATTACTATATTGTACTATATTCAAATACTGTAATATTATTAGTAATATTACATATAATATAAAATATAAAATTATTATATTGTATTACTATTAGTATTATATTGTATGTCATTATAGGTAAAGGTTAAGGTTGTCCCCTTACATTAAGTCCAGTCATGTCTGACTCTGGGGCATGGTGCTCATCTCCATTTCTAAGCCGAAGAGCCGGCGTTGTCCGTAGACACCTCCAAAGTCATGTGGCCAGCATGACTGCATGGAGCGCTGTTACCTTCCTGCCGGAGCGGTACCTATTGATCTACTCACATTTGCATGTTTTCGAACTGCTATGTTGGCAGATGCTAGGGCTGACAGCGGAAGCTTACGCCGCTCCCCGGAATTGAACCTGCGACCTTTCAGTCAACAAGCTCAGCAGCTCAGCACTTGAACCCACTGCGCCACCGGGGGCTCCCATGTCATTATAGTAGTATCGATATTATATGTGTATACAATATATTATATTATTAGCACAGCACAAAATTAGTATTGTATATTGCTATGTTGTACTATACCCAAATATTGTAATATTATCAGTAATATTACATATAATAGGAAATATAAAATTATTATATTGTATTACTATTAGCATTATATTGTATGTCATTATAATAGTATCAATATTATATGTATATACAATATATTATATTATTAGCACAGCATAAAATTAGTATCATATATTACTATATTGTATTATACCACTATACTGTAACATTATTAGTAATATTATATGTAATATGAAATACAAACTTATTATATTATTATTAGTATTATATTGTATTACATTATAATAGCAACAATATGTGTACAATCTATATAAATCAAAATGTAATGTTTGTTTGTGGGATTAACAGAGCTCAAAAATCACTGGACAAATTGCCCCCAAATGTGTCCACAAGACACCTACTAACCCAAGGAGTGACTATCACTCAAAAAAAAAATTGAGTTTGTCATTTGGGAGTTGTAGTTGCTGGGATTTATAGTTAACCTACAATCAAAGAGTATTCTGAACTCCACCAATGATGGAATTGAACCAAATGTGGCACACAGAACTCCCATGACCAACATGGGCATTGGTGGGCATTGACGTTGGGTTTGGGAGTTGTAGTTCACCTGCATCCAGAGAGCACTGTGGACTCAAAAAATGATGGATCTGGACCAAACTTGGCACAAATATTCCATATGCCCAAATGTGAACACAGATGGAGTTTGGGGGAAATAGACTTTGGCATTTGGGAGTTATAGTTACTGGGATTAATAGTTCACCTACAACCAAAGAGCACTCTGAATCCCACAAACGACAGAATTGGGCCAAACTCCCAAATGTCAAGGTCTATTTTCCCCAAGCTCCATCTCTAGGTGAACTACAACTCTCAAACCCAACGTCAATGCCCACCAAACTCTTCTAATATTTTCTGTTGGTCATAGGAGTCCTGAGTGCCACATTTGGTTCAATTCCATCATTAGTGGAGGTCAGAATGCTGTGATTGTAGGTTAACTATAAATCCCAGCAACTACAACTCCCAAATGACAAACTCAATTTTTTTGAGTGATGGTCACTCCTTGGGTTAGTAGGTGTCTTATGGCCAAATTTGGTGTCAATTTGTCCCGTGGTTTTTGAGTTCTGTTAATCCCACAAACGAACATTACATTTTTATTTATATCGATCACATGTAATATAAAGCCCTGTCACATGCACAATGGAGGACCTCCTTGCGGCAACCCCAGAGGCACTCCAAGTGGTTAGATACTGGTCAAAGGACATTTAACCAAATACCAAATTTGCAAAACCTGTGTGGTTTTTTTTCCTTTTTCTTTTTAATCTGTGTGTTTTTTTGCTCTGTTAGAATTGTAATACAATGGTTGCTGATGACATGATAAATAAACAAGTATTATATTGTTTTACATTATAATAAGAAAAAATAATAATATTATCAATAATCAAGAATTATTATTATTATTTGAAACACAATGAGATTAGTACACAACTAACAAGATCACTACGCTGGTTGTTGTATTGGATCACACGTCGGACACTTCCCAAGTGTTTAGGACTATGTGATGTATTGGCAAATAAATGTGTGCAGATCCCTTTTGCAGCTGGCAGATTATAATTTTGTCAGCGCCAATTGTGTTTAGTGCAGGCCAAGGTCTTTAGGCACTGCACCCAGTGTGCCAATCAGCACTGGGACCACATTGACTGGCTTGTATAATAATAATAATAATTAGGTTCTTGTAGGTTTTTTCGGGCTATAGGGCCATGTTCTAGAGGCATTTCTCCTGACGTTTCGCCTGCATCTATGGCAAGCATCCTCAGAGGTAGTGAGGTCTGTTGGAAATAGGAAATGGGTTTATATATCTGTGGAATGACTGGGGTGGGGCAAGGAGCTCTTCTCTGCTGAAGCTAGGTGTGAATGTTTCAGCTGACCACCTTCATTAGCATTTGAAGGCCTGGCTGAGCCTGGGAAAATGTTTTGTTGAGAGGTGTTAAGATGTGCCTGGTTGTTTCCTCTCTGGTGTAGCAATAATAATAAGGCTCTGGTGTGGACCCATATCATGCATGATATGTGTCAAGATATGTGACAGTGTAGATCCAGGTTCTTGTAGGTTTTTTCGGGCTATAGGGCCATGTTCTAGAGGCATTTCTCCTGACGTTTTGCCTGCATCTATGGCAAGCATCCTCAGAGGTAGTGAGGTCTGTTGGAAATAGGAAAATGGGTTTATATATCTGTGGAATGACTGGGGTGGGGCAAGGAGCTCTTCTCTGCTGGAGCTAGTGTGAATGTTTCAGCTGACCACCTTCATTAGCATTTGAAGGCCTGTCTGAGCCTGGGAAAATGTTTTGTTGAGAGGTGTTAAGATGTGCCTGGTTGTTTCCTCTCTGCTGTTTTGCTGTAGTAATTTTAGAGTTTTTTTTAATACTGGTAGCCAGATTTTGTAGATCCAGTGTAGATCCAGCCAGAAGATACCAGTGTGGATGGGTCTGTCCCTGAGCCCTCTGTTTCCCCCTCCCCTTGGTTCCTGCAGTGCGCATGCGTGTTCGAGGCGGGGGCGGGCCTACTGGCCCCTCCCTCCCTCCGCTAACTTGAGCCGGGGATTCTCCTTTTGCAGCCTGACCCCCCTCCTCTCCCCTTCCCTCCTTATTTGCTTCCTTGGCTGCTGCAGCTGCAAGGCGACCCTTCCTCCCTTTCTGTCTCTGCAACTAGACCCGAGGTGGATGCGCTTTGGAATCGCAGCTCGTGGCAAGCCCATTGCTCGTCGCAGCGGAGGGTGAGTTGCTCTGCAGCCCGGGTGTGTGGGCTGCCTTCCCCGTTCAGGGTCGCCTCTTGGGCTGGGGGGTCTCTTGCCCCTCCTGGAAGGCAGCCTCCTCCTCCTCTTCCTCCTCCTGGGTCTCAGCTTGTGGCTCCTTTGTGTGTCTCTTGCTCTCCTCCCTCTCCAGCCCTCCTTTAAGCTTCCCTGTGTCTCCAGTTTGGAAATCCAAACCCAGGCTTGCAGGCTTGGCGTCAGCTGGCCCTGATTTGGCAGAAGAACCCCCCCCCCTTCCCAATTCGCCCTCCCACTTTGTTCTTGGCTTTCAAAATGCTCCAGAGTCCTTCTTCCCTGATTTGCTTCCATAGGATGTTGGAAGAGACCGTAAAGGGCCATCCAGTCCAACCCTATTGCCACCCTGGAATGCACAGTCGAAGCACTCCCAGCAGATGGCCAGCCATCTGGTTTAAAAAGGAAGGATACTCTTCTCACACTCCCAGGCAGCAACTAGGAAGAGATCCCCCAAGCGCCATCCAGTCCAACCCCATTGCCACCCTGGAATGCACAATCGAAGCACTCCCGACAGATGGCCAGCCATCTGGCTTAAAAAGGAAAGATACTCTTCTCACACTCCCAGGCAGCAACTAGGAAGAGATCCCCCAAGCGCCATCCAGTCCAACCCCATTGCCACCTTGGAGTGCACAATCGAAGCACTCCTGACAGATGGCCAGCCACCTGGCTTAAAAAAGAAGGAGACTCCTCTCACACTCCCAGGCAGCAACTAGGAAGTGATCCCCCAAGGGCCATCCAGTCCAACCTCATTGCCACCCTGGAACGCACAATCAAAGCACTCCTGACAGATGACCAGCCATCTGGCTTAAAAAGGAAGGAGACTCCCCTCACACTCCCAGGAAGCATAGGAAGAGATCCCTCAAGGACCATCCAGTCCAACCCATTTGGCACCCTGGAACGCACAATCGAAGCATTCCCGACAGATGACCAGACATCTGGCTTAAAAAGGAAGGAGACTCCTCTCACACTCCCAGGCAGCAACTAGGAAGAGATCCCCCAAGGGCCATCCAGTCCAACCCCATTGCCACCCTGGAACACACAATCGAAACACTCCCGACAGATGGCCAGCCATCTGGCTTAAAAAGGAAGGAGACTTCCCTCACACTCCCAGGCAGCATGTTCCACTGTCCAACATCTCTTCCCCTCTAGGACAGTTTTGAGTAAAGTTGGACCCTCCAGCCGGCAGGTTGTTAGGAATTGTGGGAAAAGGTCCCAGGTTCGATTCCAGACTGAAGAGATCTGGTATAGACCTCTTGCTGATCAGGATGGTTTTGCCATGTCCAAAGCTCGTGCCTTCCAGAAGTACAGGCTGTCACCCAGTTACAAACATCTGATTTGCTAACTACTCAGAGTTAAGAACACGCTGACCTGGATGGTTTTGGATGATTTCTTCCAAATCTACGATATTAAATCTATATATGCAGGCCATCACCAAGTTACAAACACCTGACTTACTAACTACTAAGAGTTAAGAATGGGGCTGGACTGGATGGTCTTTGGGGATCCCTTCCAAATCTATGATTATACTAGCTGTCCCCTGCCACGCATTGCTGTGGCCCAGTCTGGTGATCTGGAAAATATAGTGATGAGAAAGTGTTGGTTTCTAATATATGTAATTTCTTTATGCTTGTGGGTAAACAGTATTTCTTGCTGTTTCTTTGTCAGTGTGGAAAGTGTCTGGTTTGCCCACTCTGGAACATGCAACATATCATTGTCCTTCTTTAGGGGTCCCTTTCAAATTTGTGATGCTATATCTGTGTATGTGTGAGAATCATATCTATCTATCTATATCTGTGGCTGGATGGCTCTTTGTCAGGAGGGCTCTGATTACGTTTTCTTGCCCTGGTGAAGGGAGTTGGATGGGATGGCCTTAAGTATGCCAGCTGAGGAGAACCCCAGTTTAGGCAGGGATGGTGTACTATATCGTGGTGCTTCTCAGCCTGGGGGGGGGGGGGGGCTCAGGATGCTTTACGGTTCCATTCCCAGAAATCTCTGAGCCTTGGCCATGCTTGGCTGTGGCTTCTGGGATTTGGGGCTGGAAATGTCCGGAGGGCCAGAAGCTGAGTTCAATGGACCAATTCTCTGGCAGCTTATAAGGCAGCGCCTTCCTCTCTCTCCTCTGCCGCCGGTGTGTCTTGCTATCTGATCCTGTCTGGGATCCACCTCCAGATGCGTCTCCTTCTCTCCCAGACCTGCCTTACGCCCGAACTCTCCAGGTCGGCCTCCCCTTGGCAGGCTTTCAAGGGGTTGGTTTGTGTGCGAGGAAGGCAGGCCTCTATGGCACTTGCGTCCCATCCTGGGAAAAGGTGGATCCTTTGCAAATTATCCAAAAGTATTCTGCCTCAGTTTTACGGGCAATGGTTTGGCATTGTTTTGATTCTGCACCAACCCTGGAAATGTTGTGTGTGTATGTACATAGGTTTGCATGTGAGCTTTCTCCAAAATTTTTATTTCTCATTTTATTTCTCGTGTCAGTCAAATATATTACATTTCTAACAGAACAAAGCAAACAAACAGTGAAAATACAAAATGTGTGAGTTTGGTAGTTGATTAAATGTCCTTTGACCAGTATCTGGCCACTTAGAGTGCTTCCGGTGTTGCTGCAAGAAGGTCCTCCATTGTGCATGTGGCAGGGCTCAGGTTGCATTGCAGCAGGTGGTCTGTGGTTTGCTCTTCTCACCCTCGCATGTCGAGGATTCCACTTTGTAGCCCCATTTCTGAAGGCTGGCTCTGCATCTCGTGGTGCCAGAGTGCAGTCTGTTCAGCGCCTTCCAAGTCGCCCAGTCCTCTGTGTGCCCAGGGGGGAGTCTCTCATTTGGTATCAGCCAATGGTTGAGGTTCTGGGTTTGAGCCTGCCACTTTTGGACTCTCGCTTGCTGAGGTGTTCCAGTGAGTGTCTCTGTAGATCTTAGAAAACTATGTCTGGATTTAAGTTGTTGACGTGCTGGCCGATACCCAAACAGGGGATGAGCTGGAGATGTCTCTGCCTTAGTCCTTTTACTATTGGCTGTCACTTCCCGGCGGATGTCAGGTGGTGAGATACCGGCTAGACAGTGTAATTTCTCCAGTGGTGTAGGGCGCAGACATCCCGTAATAATGCGGCATGTCTCATTAAGAGCCACATCCACTGTTTTAGTGTGGTGAGATGTGTTCCACACTCAGCAGCGGAGTAGCACAGCACAAGGGCAGATGTCTTCACTGTATCTGGTTGTGATCCCCAGGTTGTGCCAGTCAGCTTTCGTATGATATTGTTTCTAGCACCCACATTTTGATTTTCTCTCTCCAAAATAACACTATCTGAATATAACTGAGAGGCCACCTCAACAAAGACCGGCTTTGGTTATCCAAATGCTGTGTCTCAGTTATATAATTTTTAATATTTGTATGTATGTGTTTTATCCTGTATAATTTCTGCAATGTAAATCGCCTGCAGCATCTCGGATGGAGGGCGATTAATAAGTAATTAAAGATGATGATAATATTTCTGAAGAATGACAATAATATGTCACTATTTTAATTCTGAACTTTCTCATAGATGGATAGATATTTTTTGGGAGTTTGACCATCTCCAATAGGTATGGGTCTGTGCTTAAGAGATCCCTTTCTTTGTTATTGATGCTGAAAGTCATTTTTTTTGTTGTGTTAGGAGCAACGTTTTATTTATTTATTTAATTGCAGCTTTTATATTCCGCCCTTCTCACTCCGCAGGGGACTCAGGGCGGATTACAGTGTACACATATATGGCAAACATTCAATGCCAATTTTTGACATACAAACATATACAGACATAGACAGAGGCTATTTAAGTTTTTCTGGCCGCCAGGGGAGCTGTCGCTTTCATCATCCATCTGCGACACTGATGAAGTACTTCTGCATTCCCCGCATGCTTCCCCGCTGGAATGCTTTTGCTGGAGTCTTCTTTATGGCCTCATAAATTAGTTAATTTAGCCTCCCCACACTTTAAGGTGGTACCTAACTTTCCTACTTGACAGATGAAACTGTCTTTTGGGTTGCAAAGGTCGACAACAGGCTACACAATTGGTTGGAAACCCACTCCAACCTGGACTGGCTTCGAACTCATGACCTTTTGGTCAGAGTGATCTTAATGCAGCTGACACTCAGCTAGCTGCGCTACAATCCTGGTGGCCGACTTGAGAAACTGCAAGTCGCTTCTGTTGTGAGAGAATTGACCGTCTGCAAGGACATTGCCCAGGGGATGCCCAGATGAATTGATGTTTTTATCATCCTTGTGGGAGGCTTCTTTCATTTCCCCGCATGAGGAGCTGGAGCTGATAGAGGGAGCTCATCCGCCTCTTCCCAGATTCGTACCTGCGACCTGGCGGTCTTCAGTCCTGCCGGCACAGGGGTTTAACCCACTGCACCACCGGGGCCTCACCGGGGACTGAAGGTTATGCAAAGAGGTCTTTCTGATGGTGCACAAGGCTCCGAAACCCTCAGATAACATTTGGTGTGGTAGCACCACACAGTGCGTAAATTCTCTGATATTAGACATGCTTAGACAATTTGTGTGTTTAGGCAAATCTTTTGAAAGCCTCCCTAGTATATGTTTTAAGGGAAATGCCATTGCTGGCCTGATTCTTCTTGGTGTTAATACTGAGCTTCTGCATTAGCAGAAAAGCTTGGAGCTGTCCTATTGGCTATTGCTCTTCCTTTAAACCAGTGTTTCCCAACCTTCTTAATGCCACGACCCCTCAATACAGTTCCTCATGTTGTGGTGACCCCCAATCATAACATTATTTTCGTGGCTACTTCATAACTGTAATTTTGCTACTGTTGTGAATTGCAATGTAAATATCTGATATGCAGGATGGATTTTCATTCACTGGACCAAACTTGGCACAAATACCCAATACGCCCAAATTTGAATGCTGGTGGGGTTGCGGGGGATTGATTTTGTCATTTGGGAGTTGTAGTTGCTGGGATTTATA